AGAACCAGATTTTAGCACGGTTGAGATACATATGCAACTTGGTCAGTGAAGGGTAATGAACCAGTCCTGTTTGAAGGTTTAATGAATGAAATGTACCAGTAATACCCCTGTAATCAGGGGTAAATGTGCATCCATTGATTATTCTCCAAGTTTTATATTAAATTCCATCTAGTGGTTCATGAGATATTTTATTATAGATATTAACAGAGACAGGGTTGAAACTCCAGCAGTTTATTATAGATATTAACAGAAAGACGGGGTTGATTCCAGCATTTAGTACCAAATTTTTAACAAATCTGACACACAATCTGTTTGAAATGTGTTTTGGGGATGACTCAGTTTCTATCACACCAAATATTAGCTCATACACACACTGACGCAGGCAACTTTATAAACTACAATGTCAGAAACTTAATTAATTAACTAACTGCAGAGATCCAGCGTTGTTTTTGTAAGCATGAACAAGTCAGTTTTAGAGACAGAATTTACAGCACTGTAGATTGTTTGTTGCTCAGAGACCAGCACATTGATGTGTAACAATCTCATTGTGTCCCTTTACACTTTTTCATTGAAAAATTCCTCTCCTCTCTGGACAGTGACGTGGTCACACCTCTCTCTAGATTTGCCACCACTTAGTATGCAGCTCCGCCTGACTGCGTTTTTTTAATTTTCAGAACACAGGTACACACATTATTGACCCCCAGCATTAGAAAAAAATTGTTTTGTAGACTTTTGTCTTAAGGTCAAGAGCATTATGATAAAAAAAAGCATAAAACCTATTTAGGTGGCAGCCTGCAACACTATCCATATCTGTTTGTGTGACAGAGGAAATGTGGAGCAAGGAACTTATTAAGATTGTACCATTTACTACACACATTTTTTCTGTTGGGCAATCATTTTGATGCATACTCCCATTTGCGTAGCTGTTTACTCTAATTAGGTTCTTCAGCATTCAAATTATTAATATTCCAACAGTGCTCGGGAAAGTTATTATCCTGCACAAATCAATATAATGTCCAAACGGGGGACAAAAACATGCTGAGAGCCAGAACAAAATCTATAAGCCCAATTAATTTGCCACATTTACCCAGTTTGATATGAATAAACTAGGCGGCTTGTGGTTCCAGCTCTGCAGGCTGCCCTCAATTTAGTATGATTTTTGCTGATATAACTCCCCGTTGCATCTCTGTTTGGCCAACCTTTGCAAATCCAAACAGTATAAGTGCATGCGGCTGCATGTAATTGAACCAGCCTCGCGTGGCAGAGATGTGGGAATATGTGGCACTAACCCTAAGTTTAAGCCAGAAGAAAATGACTCATATTATGCATTCACCAGGAAAAAGTCCATAACAATGGATGCTCTTACACTCAAACCAATTTTTTTTTTTTTTTTTAACATTTTGCACACTGTTTTTTAACCTAACACAGTGTCTTTAGTTCAATTTCAGCCTTTTCTGCAACTTATGCTAACATTGGCTCAAGTGGCAGCATCTTTGGTCAAAGTGTCAGTATTTATTTTTAGCCCACATTGTTTGATAAGGAGTAAAACTTCCCAACATGTTGTCCCATCTAATCTTAATTATAACTCCTGCAGCTGAGGTGTGTCATTAAAGAAGCCTCTTTGGCATCAATAAACCAATACCCTCTGCCTCTTAACACTTGTGACATTTATTGAAAATCTTTAACCTTAACGTTGTTTTTACAATGTTACAGTTTCATCCTGAGCGTTAGGTGTGGTGGTGGTGGGGGGGGGGCCTCACCGTTTTTCAGGGGAGATCAGGGCAATTGAGAGAAAAATACAGCATTGCACTTCAGGCTTTCAGTCTCCTTTCCTTTCATTTCCTTCCTTTGGCAAGTGCCTCTCACTCATTCTCATCATTATCAGGCCCAGGGATCAATGGTTCACATGTGCTGAAGACAGTTGTCTTGGCAACCAGGGCAATGATGTCACTAAGTGGACAAAATTACTTCCCTGAGAGTGATGGGGAAACTTAAACATCATTGTGGGACAAGCATCAGCTGTCAGAAATGGTTGATTCCTGTGGCAATGGTATAAAAGAAATTAATAGATCATATTATTTTGGATATTAAAAATATTTTTTAATAACTATAGTAACCAAACAAAAAAAACATCTTAATTTGTACAGTAACTATTTGTTATATTTCTACATTGTCATCACTTAATGGCTATTAATAGCAGATCTGAGTAAAGTTTTATGTGTAGCTGACTGCAAAAATGATTTTCAATAACCTAACATATTATTAATTACTCTTTATTTGCCCTACTGAAAAAAAAAAAGACATTGTAACCAGGTGCTTTATTGGGACGGCTGTTGTAGCTCAGTGGTCAGTGCAGCAGTCTTGTAGTCCTGAGGCTGCAGGTTTGAGACCATGTTTTGTCAGGTAGGGAATCCAGCCTGAAACATTTTCCAAATCTTCTGGGTGGGTTTGCTCACTGTGGTGACCCCAACAAGAGAGAACAGTCTAAGGAAAACCACAACATCTTTGTATGTGTGGAGTTATACTTAAATAAAGAGGTCTGAACAACTCGTTAACAAGTGTGCAATCAAATTCATCGTTTTTATGTCTATATTCTGATTTACTTCATTTTGTATATTGCTTTGTGCGTTACCTATTTTTCTGTCTGTACAGCACTTTGGTTGGCCTTATCGCTGTTTTAAGTGCTCTATAAATAAATGGTAAATTAATGAATGCGGGTCGACCTTGTTCAAAGGAATAGTGGTTCTCGGCATTGTTACGATCCCCCTCACTTGAATTAAAACCACAAAACTCGGTCAGTTAAAATCACAATTCTGTAATGTTTATTTCACGTTTGTGAACAATAATCAACAGTGTGGAATTATGTCAAGTATGGAATATGAGTGCATAAACCAATAGTATTATTTCAGAATAATATAAGATAGCTTAAAACTTTGAGAAGAGATGTTATTCAAATTTAGGACTAATGCTAAAATTTAGGTAAACTTTATCTTAGATTAGGAGGAACCCAGACCCAGACCAGTGGTCATTCCGTATGTTGAAGGAGTATCAGAGAAACTGAGATGTTTATTTTCTAAACACAACGTCCCAGTGGCTTTTAAACCCCAAAATACATTACGGCAAAGACTGGTTCATCCCAAAGATCCAGTCCCCCGGCACAAACAGCGTAATGTTGTGTATGCTGTTCAGTGTCAGGAGGGCTGTGATCAGTCTTACATCGGGGAAACTAAACAGCCACTGGCCAAAAGGATGGCCCAGCACAGAAGATCAACATCATCAGGCCAGGACTCTGCGGTCTACACTCATCTCCAGGCCAGCGGTCACTCTTTCAGGGATGAAGATGTTCACATCCTGGACAGAGAGGAACGATAGTTTGAGAAAGGAGTAAAGGAGGCCATCTTTGTGAAAAGAAATCGTCCATCATTAAACAGGGGTGGAGGCCTCCATGTTCAACTGTCCCCCTCTTACAATGCTGTGATTGCTAGTATCACTCAGCCCTCTGTGAACAGTAAACAGCCATCAGTGTGCTAATGATCCATTGTTAGGCTGATGGTCCTTCTTGAGCATGTGATCAGCTGGTTTTGGTTGTCAGCAGCAAACTGGTTGATCCACTCTAAGAAGGTGCTATTTAAGAGACTGAGCTAAATACAGCACCTCAGACTGAGGAAGTCTTTCGGATGAAAGACGAAACGTTTCTACATTTTTTTGTTGTTTTGCTTTGTTTTTTTTTAATGTCCAGAGGACCAGATTTACCTTTTTTAGATTTTTCTACCTGGATTATTGAGTATGCATCAGGATATTTATCTTAGATTCATAAAGTAAAGTATAAAGTGTCTAGAAACTTAGTTGGCACTGAGAGTCATTCCTTTTCATCAGGAGGAAGATGTTTTATCCTATCTGAGATGTCCTGTCCTCATTACCACAAGGAAGATAATGCTATAGCCGGCGGTTCGCGCTGTCACTGAAAGGGATGTCTTTCCTTCAGGACCACGCCTCATCCAGCAAGGCAGTGCCTCATCATTCCTGGGTGTTTTAGGGAGTTCGGTAGACTTTCTCCATTTCAGCCAGTCCCGTCCAAGATGGAAGAATGGAGGGGCCTGACTCGCAGCAGCTCCAAACCCGCTCTTTGGAAAAATAACAAGACACTGCATCACCTCCCCTTGCGTCTCAGTTTTACCTGATGCAAAAAAAGGGGGTGTCTATAAATTGTAATCAATGTAACTTACCAACAGTGGGTGTAAACCAAGTTGCATGAATTAATTTTTGATCATAACCCCTCCTCTCAAAGTTTAGAGGGAAACAATGACTTTGTACTTTGTTTACACAGTAACACCATTTCTTCACAGATGTAAGTTTGGGTTTTCACACAATATAGGCAAACAACAGTTGGTCTGTTTGAAGCTCTGTCTAATTGTTCAACTTCCTTCTCTGATGTGATGGTCACACCTCTGTTGTCCTGGGGGTATGGCAAAGTTCTGTCCCTTTTCTTTGATCTAGACTTTTTGGAGATGCAAAGTTTATCTTTCTCAGGAAGGAGAATTGATTAGTACAGGGGGTTTAATTACCATCCAGTCAATTAAGTGTCTCTAAGGACAGAATGCCGACTCGTCCTGTCTCGTATGACTCTACATATGTAATGATGCAATGTTGAATAAAGCCTTTTAAGACCAGCTACCATTGGTTCTGTGGTTGCTAAATTTAATGCACTTCTCTTTCAGTTTTGAAGAGAAAGGTCTGTGGGGGAATATTCAATAAATAAATAAATGCAGTTGCAGTCTATGGGAGTTTGTGTGTATCCACTCTGGACTCTAGACGGTTTTGAGAAATAATCAGATCAAGAATACGGTTGGGTTTTCTCATTCTGGCAAAACCTTTTTGTTTATGTGGGGTTTTAATTTATTTTTATTTCTTGGCAAATTTTGTCCAAACCGTACAATGCATTGCTACCAAATATTCTTTCTCCCTTTTCTTTTTTTTTTTTGTTATTCTTTCTCATGTAGAGACACACCCCAGGCGAATGATGGGGGGACCAAAACACCTCGATCCAGGACTTCTTCCCGCTTCCCCAGACTGGGCCGCAGCCGCACACAGGAAGCCAGACCTGAACCTCAGAGTGGTGACCTTTGAGCTATAGCATTAAAACCAAGAAAAACAATTTGTTGTCTTTGGACTGTGACATACACACTCACTTGGTGCAAGGGCCTGTGGGGCATTAAATGGATCTTAAATGCGGATGGAGAGCCTCGGTCAATGGCTGTGGAACTCTGTGGGCCACTTGTCTGGCTTGTTGAGTAGGAAGCAGATGAATCTGACTAACCTGGCAATGACCACCTGGTAATTCAGCACCTCTTACCTTTCTGAGATCAGCACTCCCTGAAAACTGCACACGGACAAATTCTGACCTGCTTTTACTCACCTCAAACAGAAATAAGACTTTTTTTCCCCTAAAGCTGCTTTGATTTGTAGTTAAAATGCATCCTGGTCAGTGCCTACAGGGTTTTACCACTGCTTTCCTGATCTAAGCAGGAAGGGAAGGGTGTGCAATGGTAAACTCAAGTCCTGTCTTGGAACATGAACAATATTTTTCAGCTTTTATGTCAGCATTCTAGTGCCATTACATTTTAGACAATGATTTACAATCAGTGGACCACCACACTGCAGGCATTTCTTTTTCCTGCCTCTGTTATGATGTTGTTGTGGCTTTTATTACAAGAAGAATGCAGAAAGTGTACCATACCTTACACATTATGGGAATTAAAATAAAATCTACTTTAAATTACACAATATGAAAAAAGAAGACTGTCTTATGGTCTGCTGACCGGTTCTGGTTGTACCATGAAAAATGAAGCAGGTAAATTAAAAAAAGGAATGAATGATGATGAATGAATGATTGTGTGTGTGTGTGTGTGTGTGTGTGTGTGTGTGTGTGTGCGCGCACGCACTCTCGTGCAAACAGTAGCAATGGCATAATCAATAAAGCCAATGAATGTGCAGAAATATGTAAAAATAAAACATAAAATGGTTATGATGGCAAAGTTTTGGAATTTTTTTCCCCCAGGGTGTGCCAAGAAAGGCTGACTAATGGCTATATTTTATAAACAAACCATTTTTTCCCCTCTTCATACACGTGGCATACTCATCTTTCCACATATTCAGTTATCATACTTAAGCAGAAATAAAAATGAATTCCACACCAACATCATTCAAACAATCAGAGTAAAATGTGTAAAGCATCCTTTAGTTTCTGCCACATTATGTTTCAGATTTAAAGTTTTAACCACTTGAAGCTCCTTGTTAGCTGAATGGTGGAGCATGTGGCGAGCAGAAGCTCGTGCAGATGGACGGGTTGTGCAAGAGTAACTAAAGACTGACTTCAGCCAAGGAGTGTTCAAGGGGCTTTAAAAAACTTGAATTAAAGAAAGAAATGGTGCTTGCCATTGTTGTCAAGGCAAATGAACAAGGCTTTTAGTTGAGTGTTTTTTCGGAGTTGACCCTCTGCAACTAGAAAACACTCCTTTGTTTTACAACTCACACAGAGGTTTTGTTCAGAGTTTTATTGTAGACATCTCTCAGGAAGTTTCTGGGAGTTTAATGTAGTGAGTAAATAAAACTGAAAAAAGATCAAATGAGAATTATTGACAACGTTTACGTCTTAAATGTTTCAGAGATTTTGTTTGTAACACATGATGTGACTTAAAAATGAAGTTTTGTCATTCTTTTAATTTCATACTATGCATGTTATGCATTGCACAAACTCTGCATATTGCAAACTAATGGTTCTAGAATTGTGCCGCTCAAAGTGGCGTTATTCATTCTGGGATGTTGCTTTTGAAAACTTTGATTCCTCTTTTTTTCTGGATTTAAATCACCTTTTTTAATGATTTTATTCCTCTGGTATCAGATACTGTGCAGCTGGAAGGAATTTTACTGAAACCTCTTTTGCACATTTGTTATAAAGCGTAACCATGACAACAAGGTGTTCTTTTTTACAACTGGGAGCAGCTGATTAACATCTCAAAAGCTCAAACGTTACCTCAACTACAGCCCCAAATCCCAAATGAGATGAAAAGGAGGTGCCGTGGATACATCCCAGTCTACCTGGTGGCGGTGCTCAAGTACTTGACTGCCGAGATCCTGGAGCTGGTGAGAGGCACGGCTCGTGACAGTGGGAGGACCGGGATCGTCCCCAGACACCTGCAGCTGGCTGTTCATGGCGGAGTGACCATCGCTCAGGGAGGAGTTCTGCCCAGCATTTGGGTGGTCCTGCTGCCCAGGAGGGCCAAAACTCACCGGGTGGATGGATTGGCATTTGCGGCCAGATTCTTCAGATCTACTGTGAGTTGGACCACTGTGGGGCATCTGTCTGCCCACAGACATCAGCATCTAGAACAACTCTTAAACCAGTTTGATGAGATACAACATTTAATTTCGTTTTGAGATTAATAAAGTATTTTGAATTGAACTGAATTTTAAAACAAGCCACCTATATATGTTGTATTGTTTGCAGATACCTCAGATAATCATGTTAATCAAATAATCAACCTTTTTACAGACCCATTTTTAACGGTGAAGTTTTGTCTCAGGCAGAAATATCAAACTGTTGTACGGTGAATCTAAAGTGGATCAGTCCTCACATAAGAAAAATAAATAAATCTGACAAAACTGTGCTACAGCTGTGGCCACACCATGAAGTGAAAAATTGCTGCTATGCTAGTGTCATCTAAAAGCACCTGGATGACGTTATTTACAGCTTTGTTGCAAATGAACATGTTAAAATATTTGAAAGACAGAAACTTTGAAAATATCTCATGGGGATCATACACATTATATATATATATATATAAACTATATTTTTAGCACCAAACTGTTTAACTACACCTTTAAACCTGACCACGTGATTTCTGTAATTGGATGTGTTTTTAGTACCTAAAGTACTCTTGATAATTCACAAAACAAGCTGGTGCCAAAAAAACCTGCAAGCTCTTCGAACAAGTTCCTGGTGGCTTTGTAGCTGCTCTCCTAGGACATACAATGTTTCATAACAAATATATAATTCAATATTCCTTCAGATAATGCAGGCTCCTTCCTTCAAAACCCCACAGAAGATGGATTATTCCACTGTGAGTGGACGTTGGGGGTTGGAACCAGACATGCTTGCACACACGCAAATGCAAATCTTTTTCTTTCAGAGTCAGAGAGATTTATTTGTCATACACAGCACGTGGTACATGTGGTGGAACAAGATTATGTACGCAGGGTCCCAGTTCAAATGTAAAAGGAAAAACTATAATAAGATCTAATATATGAACTAAGAAAAACATCAACTAAAGGTAATACTTTACAATAAGGTACACAAAATTTGCTTAACTACTGGGGAACACCTCAGGAACGAATCAGGAGGTAATGGGTAGTTAACCAGTATTTATTGGGAAACATACAGCCAAGCCTTATTATGGGACTACTGGTTTGTTACCTTGTAAATGAAGAGGAACTAATCAAGAACTAATGGGTATTTAATAAGGAAACCAAAGGGGAACGAATCAGGAGCTAATGGGTAGTTAACCAATAGGTTTATAAAAGAGAAAATCCAATAAAATCAGTAATCACTATGAAACAGGTTTTTGACAATTACAAGCTGTGACCTCACTGGTGCAGGGTTTATTCAGAACCCACATGGACAATTTCTCCTCTGTTTCTGTGGTAACAAACCAGTAGTTCCCTAATAAGGCTTGGCTGTGCATTACCCAGTAAGTACTGGTTAACTACCCTTTAGCTCCTGATTCATTCCTCTGGTTTCCTTGGTAACTATCCATTAGTTCTTGATTAGTTACTCTTAATTTACAAGGTAACAAACCAGTAGTCCCCTAATAAGGCTTGGCTGTGTGTTCCCCAGTAAGTACTGGTTAATTACCCATTAGCTACTGATTTGTTTCTCGTTGGTTTTCATGGTAACTACCCATTAGTTCCTGATTAGTTCCTCTTCATTTCCCAGGTAACTAGTCCCCTAATAAGGCTTGGCTGTGTGTTCCCCAGTAAGTATTGGTTAACTACCCATTAGCTCCTGATTTGTTCCTTATTCAATCAACCTTTATTTAGACAGGTAAATCCCATTGAGCCTCGAGGACTCATTTACAAGAGAGACCTAAAAAATGTGTTCCCTAGTAGTTAAGCAAATTTTGTGTACCTTATTGTAAAGTGTTACCCAACTAAATAATACACTAAGCATTAATTGCATGAAAACATTACGTCGAACAGCAGCATGAACATTAAAAGCATTCAGTTTTGTCGGCTCATCTACTTTTCTGTTCGTGTCTTAATCTGTAATTGGGCCGTACCTGCATTATTGGTGTCACAGCAAAAAGTGGGCGTGAACAATAAAGTGCAATGTGTGGAGCACACACACCAGCAACGTCTTGGTGTCAGTGTTGTTACGCTAGCTGTTTGCATTTATGGATGAGGGCTAAAGGCCACTACAGTGTTCTGCTTTGTGTGAGCACATTTATATACAGGTCCTTCTAAAAAAATTAGCATATTGTGATAAAGGTCATTATTTTCCATAATGTAATGATAAAAATGAAACTTTCATGTATTTCAGATTCATTGCACACCAACTGAAATATTTCAGGTCTTTAATTGTTTTAATACTGATGATTATGGCATACAGCTCATGAAAACCCAAAATGCCTGTACCAAAAAATTAGCATATTTCATCCCACCAATGAAAGACAAGTGTTTTTAATACAAAAAACGCCAACCTTCAAATAATCATGTTCAGTTATGCACTCAATACTTGGTCGGGAATCCTTCTGCATACTGCTTCAATGTGGCGTGGCATGGAGGCAATCAGCCTGTGGCACTGCTGAGGTGTTATGGAGGCCCAGGATGCTTCGATAGCGGCCTTAAGCTCATCCAGAGTGTTGGGTCTTGTGTCTCTCAACTTTCTCTTCACAATATCCCACAGGTTCTCTATGGGGTTCAGGTCAGGAGAGTTCGCAGGCCAATTAAGCACAGTAATACCATGGTCAGTAAACCATTTACCAGTGGTTTTGGCACTGTGAGCAGGTGCCAGGTCGTGCTGAAAAATGAAATCTTCATCTCCATAAAGCTTTTCAGCAGATGGAAGCATGAAGTGCTCCAAAATCTCCTGATAGCTAGCTGCATTGACCCTGCCCTTGATAAAACACAGTGGACCAACACCAGCAGCTGACATGGCACCCCAGACCATCACTGACTGTGGGTGCTTCACACTGGACTTCTGGCATTTTGGCATTTCCTTCTCCCCAGTCTTCCTCCAGACTCTGGCACCTTGATTTCCGAATGACATGCAAAATTTGCTTTCATCCGAAAAAAGTACTTTGGACCACTGAGCAACAGTCCAGTGCTGCTTCTCTGTAGCC